TGAACTGTCAAAGGCATCGGGTACAGCTGATACCTTCTAGCTACAGTGAGTCAGGGATCCAGACTATAATAAACCCTAGGAATATTCAAATAAACCAGATACAAACAATCTGTTGCAAAGTCCTCTAACATAACATATATAAAACACTGATCAGGAGGATGAAAGATTACTTTTTTTTTTGCAATGACTTACCCTTACAACTCTCCAGCCATGTCTCTTCAATAATTCAGTGAGATAAACTGAAAGCAGAACAAGAAGATAATAACACTGGCGAACTAGTGTTCCACAGCACAACAACATATCCCTCTCAAAATGGGAAGCTTGGAAACCTAATAAATACAATTCAGAGGATTATAGTTATCCCATTAGAGAAATAATCTTTGTTGACATTTTTAGAACCCTAGAGTTGGGTTAAACCATATTTCAACATCCACAATCTTATAGTTATTGAATTTACATGTTTTCTAATTAAAGGTTTGTTTGAGCCCTGCTATTCACTACATGTGGATAGTTATAAACCAGATCAATAGAAAATAGAGGGATTGCACTCATCCAGAGAACAACAGGGTGCTTAACTGAGCCAGGCCAGCTCATCCCTTATATGAAGTACATTCCAAAGAAGAGGCTCCAGGCACACTCCGTGTTCAACTTAACACAGTTATATTGGATCATGTGCACAGGAACATTTTAATCTCCACTGAGGTCTTTGTCAAAACATTGCTGTGCACATGATGATCCAATAAAACCGCTTTAAGTTGAACACAGAGAGTGCCTGATGCCTCTTCTTTGGAGTGTCCCTCTACTACAGACATGAGTGTTTTAAGGGACCACTTCAATGTTCTTCTGTTACATAGTTACATAGCTGAAAAGAGACTTGCGTCCATCAAGTTCAGCCTTCCTCACATTAGTTTTTTGCTGTTGATCCAAAAGAAGGCAAAAAAACCCAGTTTGAAGCACTTCCAATTTTGCAACAAGCTAGGAAGAAAAAAAAATTCTTGACCCCAGAATGGCAGTCAGATTTATCCTTGGGTCAAGCAGTTATTACCCTACATTGAAAGATTATTTCCTTGAATATTCTGTTTTTGCAAGTATGCATCTAGTAGCTGTTTGAACATCTGTATGGACTCTGATAAAACCACCTTTTTCAGGCAGAGAATTCCACATCCTTATTGTTCTTACAGTAAAAAAACCTTTTCTTTGCCTTAGACGAAATCTTCTTTCTTCCGGCATGACCTTGTGTCCCATGTAAAGTCCGGTTTGTGAATAGATTTCCACACAATGGTTTGTATTGGACCCGGATATATTTATATAATATTATCATATCCCCTCTCAGGCGAGGTTTTTCTAAACTAAATAGGTTTAAATTTGTTAACCTTTCTTCATAGCTGATATGTTCTATTCCTTTTATTAATTTTGTAGCCCTCTTCTGCACTTTTTCTAGTGCCATAATATCCTTCTTTAGAACAGGTGCCCGAAATTGCACTGCATATTCAATATGTGGTCTTACCAGTGATTTATAAAGAGGAAAAATTATATTCTCATCCCGAGAATGAATGCCGTTTTTCATGCATGACAATACCTTACTGGCCTTGGCCACTGCTGATTGATATTGCACATTGTTGCATAGTTTGTTGTCTATAACAATTCCCAAGTCCTTTTTGTGTGTTGTTATCCCTAATTCGCTTCCATTAAGGGTATACGTTGCATGTTTATTCTTTACACCGAAGTGCATAACTTTGCATTTTTCAACATTTCATCTGCCATTTGAGTGCCCAGTCCCCCAGTCTAGCTAAATACCTGTTCTTCTCAGTTAAAATATGACATAAAAGGATGTGATGTTGAGAATACATTTCTGACTGCTTTAATGCATCTAGGATTCATTTTGATAAGGAACTCACTCAAAATCAAATGAAAACCAATAGAACCAATAGGTCTCTTGCACTTACACTATTCATCCATTGCACTTTGGAACTACAGACCTTTGGTGCTGGAATTTTTCTCTGAAAGGTATCCACCTACTGAAAACATGTATTAGTGTGGTTCCCAATGTTGACTAAATAGAGCAGGAAACATTCAAATATTAGGACAAAGATGTGTTTAAAGGTTGAAATTTAAGGACTTGGTTATTTAGTGACTAATTTACACCCAAAGCCACTCCCACATTTATTTTATTTCCTGAATAAGTAATGTTATGAGGAACTTCTACTGAATGTGTAATGTTATGAGTTCTGTCTATTACCAATCATGCCTTGCCGTTCCCCTGGTCTCCCTGGTGATAATTTAAAACAGAAGTCAGTGTCATCAAAAGGGTAAACCCCTTCTCTTCCAGGCAATGGTTCGAATCCTGAAGCAAAATCAGTCTAAAATGGCCTAATAACTAGTCTTATTTCTGACAGCATTTCTAACTCATTAATATGTGTTCTTGCTAGAGGAAATAAAAAGCCTCTTTCTGCTGTATCTGTATAAAAAAAAAAAAACACTATGCCTAGCTAGCCAAGCGTTAGATGAATAATGTGGGGACTCAGCAGGGTTGTGGAAACATTAACCTGCACACGATAAAAAATTTGTTTAACATTAAGCAAGAAAGAGGGAATATTGTACCAGTTTCTGGGCAAAATAGTTCACAAAAGTCAAAATACATTCACCACCTATGATGACTAAATTGTGTTTATATTTGGAGACACCCTTTATCTAAAAAAAAAAAGTATATTAGGAAATGTGTTCCTAGAAATTCCATGGGAAGAGGAGTCTGAAGTCAGTTGTGGCTCTTCTATAGGGACAGTTAAATTGTGACTCTAAGCACCAGAACAACTAAATTCTCACTGCTCAATCATCTGCTCTTTAGGAATTAAATCACTTTTGTTTCTGTTTATAGAACCCTAGTCAAATCTCCCCTGGCTGTGCCTCACATAACCTGCATCAAAATTTTTTTTTATTTTCAATCAGATGTGACAGCACATTGTGTTTTATCTCCTGCTCTGTTTATATAACTTTAATCATACACAGGCGGTTCTTGCATGCTCTAGCAAGCTATTAACAAGGTAGGAGATAAGACATTGAATAGACTAAATTGAATAGACGAATGGAAGTTTAAACATTAGATCTATCTTTACATGAAATGTCTAGGGAGACTTTGCTTGTCACATGCTGGGGAGGTGTGGTTGGGCTGCATACACAAAGTGATTCAACCCCTAAGTGGCAGAGCACTGAGCAGTGAGACTGCATGGTCACCAAACCACTATACACTAAAACCACTTAATTAAGCTAAGGCTGTTCGGATGCTTATAGTGTCTTTTTAAAGCAGTAACCTACCAGATAATTGTTGCAAAATACTTTGCCTAAAACTGTTTTTTCCTATTGTAGTTTGCCAAATGATTTTTTGTAAAATATATTATTATAAGAAAACCTTTTGGTGACAAAATGCTTTTAAGCGACAATTTTAAAACAAAACTGTGTTGTATCTGTCTCTAATTTGTAATAGTTATGATCAGCTCTCTTGTTTTTGAAGAGCACAGTCTGCTTACTGATTAATGGCAATTAATAGCTGGCATGCAGCTAGGAAACCTTGCTGTGTGAGTGTGCTACAGAGCATGTCAAGGGCTAGAGTTGTTTGTGGAAAATGCACAGGCTGTTTATAGACTTCCTCACAGGCTCAGTCTACTCCTAGAATTGATGTATTCTTATGCTGGGGGAGACCAGAGGAAGGAGCATGCTCAGTTGTCTCTCTTTCAGTCTCCTTCTAATGTTTACATGAGACTGACAAAAACAGGCAAACCATGTAATACTATACTCAAAGTATCCAGATCCTCTTCCCTTTCTGGTTACACATGAGGAATTATAATGCAGCCATATTTTGAAAAGTAATGAAATGGCAGAGAATAAGCAGAGGCCTACCCAGGTGTTAAACATTCCTAGTGGGTGGTGATTTTAGGAGTTATATAAGGCTTGGTGTCATTAGCTTGTCTAATATAGCTTGGTGCTGTTTCTAAGTGTGTAGTTGGAGATATTCTGGAGATAACCTGGAGGTAATCTGAGGTATTCAGGAGGATAAATACAAAGTTAAAATTTGTTAGATTTAAATTATTCTCCTAAATGGAATGGCAGACTTAGTTAGGGTAACAATTGCTATGCATTTGTTTCACGTTCCACTTTTTAGAGGTTTGGTTGTTGTCTAATCTGTAGACAGTTCTCTATCTTGCGGCAGGAGATTGTATTTTTGAAGTCTGAGATTTGTAAATTATCTGGTGAAGAAACTCAGACTGGAAATGCTGCAAAGCCACTGCCGCAGAGACATACTAGGAAAGGCAGATGGATTACTGTAGGATCTGGTAGACTTAGAGTTGTGGATAAAATGCATTTTGCACAGTCTGTTGCTCTTCATAATTCATTTTCTGCACTTTCAGAGTGTAATGGTGTTGTGGAGAGAGGCACTGAGGCTAGTGGTGTTGTGGAGAGAGGCACTGAGGCTAGTGGTGTTGTGGAGAGAGGCACTGAGGCTAGTGGTGTTGTTGAGAGAGGCACTAAGACTAGTGGTATTGTGGAGAGAGGCACTGAGGCTAGTGGTGTTGTGGAGAGAGGCACTGAGACAAGTGGTGTTGTGGAGACCGGCTTGGAGACTATGGTGAGGCATAATAGAAAGCAGTTGTTGTTGGGGGATTCCATTATAAGAGGTGTGGAGATGGACAATGGTGGTCTTGTGAGGTGTCTTCCCGGAGCTACTGCTCACAGAGACAGGAGACGTATCTGTAATATTGTTAAGCAAGCAAAGCAGGAAGGGGAATTACTGTACTTGTCCATCTAGGGACAAATGACTTGGCTTGCAATAAGGTTTCAGAGGTTAAGGAAGTTTTTAGTGTTTTTGCCAATGATATACGGCAGGTTGCTTCCACACTGTCATTCTCTGAAGTTCTGCCTGTGCATAACACTCAGAACGACAGGCGGATGCGTATTAGGGACTTTAATTTGTGGCTTGGTGAATGGTGTCGGGAGCAAGGATTTGGCTTTATTTCTCATGGTAGCTCTGTTTGGAATGGAGATAAGCTGTACAAAAAAGATGGTTTGCATCTTTCTCAAAAGGGAACAAATGTTCTCAGTGAGCAGTTCAGAGGTTTTGCTAGGATGTATTTAAACTAGGAGGGGGGGGGCAAAAGGGTGATAAAACATCAATCCAATTGTCCCCCAAAACAAGGACAGAAGGTGCCTGTAGCAAGTGTGTTAAAAAATGATAAGCTTAGAGTCATGTCTACAAATGCTCGCAGTTTAGGGAATAAGATCCATGAACTTGTGGCAATAATGGCAACTGATAGTGTAGATTTAGTCGCTATTACTGAGACATGGTACAATGAGAAAAATGACTGGGATATAGCAATACCAGGGTACTCTTTATATAGGAAAGATAGGGAAGGCAAGAAAGGGGGAGGGGTGGCCTTGTATGTAAAGGATAGTGTAACGGATCGCCTGGCACCCCGACTGGGTACCTCCGTTGAAGGATGCTCCTAGCGCTTCCTGAGGACTCCAAGCACTCTGGCAGACACCACAATCACCGAACCGGAGAAACAAATAAATTCTCCCAAGCATATGAATGCTGTAGACAGTTGAATATCAACCATACAAATAGGTTTACTCTCCTATCAGTCAAACTGGAACAGCATACAATAAATCCTTCCCCCAATAATGAGACGACACTTCACTTTGAGGGTTAAAACAGGAACTCAGGTGCTGGCACACCCAGCCTGGTTTTTATTACAGTCTTTGCAAATACAGGACCGCCCACAGGGAGGTATAAAACAACCAATCACATCACAGTTATATCCCACATATTCCCTCCCCTTATCCTGAGAGGAAACTCAATTACACATACAGTTAAAACATACTTTCCTGGCCATATCCATGGCAGCACAACAATGGGTAGCTCCTCCCTATCCCTAACCAGACAGGAACCTAATTAAAACAGAAGGTATAAGTAACCCCTCCTACCCCTCCCACCCTCAGTCTTTTTGTTCCTGTCCTATCCCTAGGACAGATTTAGTCATTCTAAGACTAGAGAATTTTTTCTTTTTGGCTTACCTGAGGGTTGTTACCTTCTCCCTCAAGGGAGTTCAGCCTCTCTCCCTTGGGCAGTCTCCAGTACACGGCCCTGTGCAAAGGTGACCCCCTGGAGAGACCCCTTTAGTGACCGGGGGTTCTAACTTGCTGTGACCCTAGGGGTAGCAAGATCATGCCATCACCATGATTCCTGCAGTGACCAAGAGGTAGCAGGCTGGGCATGCACATACAGAGCATATGGATTTACTTGCGGTGACCCTAGGGGTAGCAAGATTATGCCATCATCCTGTCTCCTGCAGTGACCAAGAGGTATCAGGCCGGACATGCACATACAGAGCACATGGATTGCAAGGATTAATATGACATTGACTAACATTCCATTGCTGAAGGAGTTAATGTGAGACAGACTAGCATTCCATCGCTGAAAGGGTTAAAGTACAACTTACTATCTTTTTCTTTGCCATGGATTTACTTGCTGTGAACCTAGCGGTAGCAAGATTATGCAATCAGCCTATTTCCTGCAGTGACCAACGAGTAGCAGGCCGGACATGCACACGGATTGCAAAGATTCTATGAGATTAACATTTCATCACTAAAAGAGTTAATGTGAGATGGACTAGCATTCCATCACTGAAAGGCTTAAAGTATAACTCACTATCTTGTATTTTCCCATGGATTTACTTGCTGTGACCCTAAAGGTAGCAAGATTTTGTCATCAGCCTATTTCCTGCAGTGACCAAGGAGTAGCAGGCTGGGCAGGCACATACAGAGCAAATATATGGATATAACCCCTTCTACCCTTCATCGGTTTCATCTAAATGGTAAGAGATTCCTGCTAATCTGAATTTCTATCAAACGTATTCCTAGGCTTCTGTGTCTTATTCCAAGGCCTCTGTGTCTTTTAATATATCCACTAGGTTACTTATTCCTAGGTCTCTGCTGGGCCTTTTAATATAAGCACTGGAGTCACTTATTCCAAGGCTTCTGTGTCTTTTAATGTATCCACTGGATTACTTATTCCTAGGCCTCTGCTGGGCCTTTTAAAATAGCAGTTGGATTAATTTTTTCCTGGGCCTCTGTTGGGCCTTTTAATATAAGCACTGGAGTCACTTATTCCGAGGTTCCTGTGTCTTTTAATATATCCACTGGATTACTTATCCCTAGGCCTCTGTTGGGCCTTTTAACTGGAGTCACTTATTCCGAGGTTTCTGTGTTTTTTAATATATCCCCTGGATTACTTATCCCTAGGCCTCTGTTGGGCCTTTTAACTGGAGTCACTTATTCCGAGGTTTCTGTGTCTTTTAATATATCCCCTGGATTACTTATCCCTAGGCCTCTGTTGGGCCTTTTAACTGGAGTCACTTATTCATAGGCTCCTGTGTCTTACTCCTAAACCTCTATATCTTTTGATACAGCCATAGGAGTCACCTTTTCCTAGGCATTTGTTATGCCTTTTAATATAGCAGCAAGCTTTTTCCTAGGCCTCTGTTGGGCCTTTTATTATAACCGCTGGATTTACTTATTCCTAGGCCTCTGTTAAACCTTTTATTGCAGCTGTCTCACCTGAGTGTGGTGAGATAGTTCAGTGGGCTAATACTTCATCAGAAGAATCTGTTTGTCACTTGGGGCTCACCAGTTCAATTCCCTGCAGGGCTGACTCAGTCCATAATTGTAAATAAAATGTGTACACTTGGAAACCAGAAAATATCTGAATGCCTCTTTCCTGGTTCAAGATTTGCAATAATTGTTTCTAGTGCCTTTTAATACAGCTGCTGGGTTCACTTATTCTATGTGCTTTTTAATTTCATTATTATATGCCTCCATTTTGGTTTTATGTATTCACTAAATTTATTATCCTATTTCAATGTCTCTGTACTTGGTAATAGGATATTCGCTGTTCTGTTCCTCTATCTCAGCCTTTCAACCTGTTTTATTTTAAGTCCCTAAGTTTCCATTCTTACTTTTGGGCCCATTCAGGTTTTTTCCTCTGCGTTTAATCACCCGCGAATACGCAGGTGCTAGTCCAATGGTCGCACCATGCCATTACCGCGCATGCACAGAAATCTGATTCGCTCCTGCGTATTCTAAAATGTAAGCCCAGTTGCAGTGGTTGCAGGGTCATATTGGCTTCCCCTTTTCAGCACAATGTTTTCTTATAGGTTTTTCCTATATTAAGTAATTAGATTTGTGTGCAGTTTTCATCTTAATTTGAATTCTTCTTTTTGGTTTTGGTAAGTTTTTCTTTATCGAAGGTATATTACTTATTTTTCTGTATCTATCAATCTCTACTTATTTAGCAGAGATTTTCTTTGTAAAGGATAAAAAGAAATCTTATGCAGTTATGGATTCAGATCCCTCTGCTCCCAGAAAAAAGGTCACACTCTAAGAGACATAGGTAAGCCATTTTATTTTTTTCTGTCATTACTAAACAAAAGAGTGCCTATCAATAATTGGAATTCCCTATGATGATAGCTCTACGGAAAGAAAATAATCCGGATCATACAAGGGAAGTCACACTAAAGAATTGTTTGTGAGGCATATGATAAGAGATCCTTGTAAAAGTAAAGTCTCTGCACAGACTGTCTGAAAGTGGCTACAGGCCCTTCTACCCATGCCCTGTATATTACACAATATTAACAGGAGGTATCTCAAGACATCATAGAAGCTGTTAAAGCTTGGATCCTCTGGACAATTCCCAGAATGAATACTCTTAGGAATCCTGGGAGATGGATCCATTCAGAGATATGAAATCATCGGATGAGGATATTCAGCCTATTTCAGTAGTTCCAGAATCCGCTCATTTGATTTCCAGAGTCCTTTTACCTCTAGCCTTTCTTTTCGGATGTCAGAGGGTGTAGAGTATCTTTTCCAGTTTCCGGTCCCCTTAAGATCCTTAATGGAGGAATGGTTCTACACTGAGAGAGGTTTTCAACACAAGGGAGTATCTCAGTATTCATCCATTGGAATTTCAGACACTAGTACCTGGGACTCTGCTCCTAAGTAGTAGATGCAGTCCTTAGACTGGCTAAATGTTCCTCTCTGCCTGTAAACAATGCGGGATCTCTCTGAAACTCCGTGCAGTATACATGGTTCTGCTCCTCTCTAAAGCCTATGTGGCAGCTGGCACAGGCTTTCATCTTGCTGTAAGGTTTTACCTCAATCTCTAAGGATCTAATATTGGTATGGATAAATTGGAGGAGCATATCAGAGATAAATTTCCTTTGTCTCTTGACAATTTAAAAGTCATTAACCGGGAATAGTCTTCAGCTAAGAAGCCTACATAGGTTGCATTATATTATAGCCGGAAATATGACTTTCTTTGTGTCTATTAGCTGGGCTCTTTTGCTTAATACCTGGTCCACGGATGCATCCTCCTATATTAATGGATCAACAGAACGGCAGAGGGCAAGAAAGCTTGTCTACTTCAAGACCTAAGGTTTGGGAGACCCTTTCGATATAAAGATTCTCACTAACTTCCTTCTCAGACCAAGGTATTTCACACCATGAAGAGAATGTGGTAGATCTCAACCTTGATGTAAGTGGTCATTATTCTAATTTACAGGATTCTTGAACGTTCTTATTTATAAAGGTAGTATTCCTAGTACATTGGATAATGTCTATAGATTTGCAGGATGCTTATTGCCATGTATCCTTTGCCTCACATCACTTTTATTTTTACATCTTCATGATGAAAGATGAATGTCTGCTGTAGTCACCTTGCTCCCTCCCAGTTCAGGGTATAGCTGGAAATACAGTTCGACATGGTCCAAGGCACGGTACAGCTCTTTTAAGACTAGCATATTACTCCAGCAGAGAGAGTTTTGATCCAGATCCTCCACCATAGATCTGATAAGATGTCACAAGGGCAGAGGTTAACTTACCTATGGAAATCCTTTGGACAGTGATAACTATGAATACCATCCACTGGGGTTGAGGAACCTTTCTCAAAATTCAGATATGTTCAGGAAAGGGACTCCTTTAACATCCAACATTTCTCTTCTGCATAGGTTGCAAGAACCAATATCAATCATCCTGACAGTTCCATATTAATACCCAGTCCATGGTTTCCACTTCTACTTATCTTCTTCAGTGCCTCCATGGGATCTCCCACAATAGTTCTTCCCTCTTCCATCAGGTCCAGTGCTACTTTCCTCATTTTGAAGCTTTCGATAATGTAGAAGGGCTTAAATATAAGAGGTTTTTGAACTACCAAGAAGGTTCTAAGTTCTTCAATCCAGGACTTATCTAGGAATTGGCCACATCACCTCAGAGATATGTCTCAGCACTCTCTGATCTCTCTTTTCGTGAAAGGGCTTTAATATAGAAGTATCTAAATTTCTGTCGGTTGTATTTATATGATCCCACGGTTATCTATTGCTCTCCGTGGAATGCTCTGAAATTTTTACCCCTTTTAACCATGAGAGTATATCTCTCCACATTTGCTTAACATTAAGTTAGCTATATCGTTGACATTGGCATGGACTGAAGGATATTAGATCCTCAAGCACTATTTTGCATAGAATATAGAGTCCATAATAAAACTTTATCCTCCTGTCCTAGATAGATGCCTTAAGATCTATTTTTATAGATCCGCTTTCTGGATTTCTTCTGTTTATCCTTACTAATAGACCACAAAGATCTTCAAGCCAACAGCAGATGGATAGTCTTGGCTGTTTTTTAGGCTACTAAACCCTAGGGATTACAGTACTTAAAGATATGTTTGCTCTAGAGCCATTTCTCCCTCTTGAGCATCGGTGGCAAAGCTTCCCTGGAACTTGTAGGTAAATGGATGCTTAGTCTCCAATCAATTTGCAGACATTTTTTGGGGGGTACATTTGAGTTGGTCAATTTGATAATGTGCCATTAGTGGGCAATCAGTTTTTCATTTCGAATGTCCTTATGAGGTGTGTGTGTATGTTGTCAATTTGCATTCATATTTTGGAAGTCTTGTGTATTTCTTTCCCACCCTTGGTTATTGCTTGGGTATTACCCATTGTTGTGCTGCCATGGATATGGCCAGGAAAAAGGAAAATTTATTCCTACTTACCGTAATTTTCTTTTCCTGGTCATAGGCCATGGCAGCACAAAGATCCCGCCCTGGGATATTGCTGGAAACAAGACTGAGGGTGGGAGGGGTAGGAGGGGTTACTTATACCTTCTGTTTTAATTAGGTTCCTGTCTGGTTAGGGATAGGGAGGAGCTACCCATTGTTGTGCTGCCATGGCCTATGACCAGGAAAAGAAAATTACGGTAAGTAGGAATAAATTTTCCTTTTTTTACCCAACTTTCATAACTCTAAAACTATACATCACATTCACATAAAATTACATATTCACAATCATTCCATTCCGGGGAACAACATAGTAATGCAATTATCTCCAAGGACAGAGGCAAAACTCCATTAGCCACATGGCAGACAAAGGACAACAAAAGACATAAAAATACATACTGTTACATTTATCACATAGAACCTACACATTTACAATTTACTGAACACATAATAGCATATATAATATTGCAGACCGCCTGAATGCAATCTGCTACACAGTCTTAAAGGGACATTGTTCCTAAAAGTCATAATCTGTCCAGGGATGATTTTTAAAGGGCCAGAAGCAGCACCATACAAATCCAATATGCTCAAATATTGTACTTGAAGGGCCAAATAACCCAGGGCCATAGTCATGAGGCAAGAGGCTGGCAATCAGGCTCCTCCAACAGACAGGGGAAAATCCGGTGACAAAAGGCGTTTCATCACAGATAGCATAAAATCTAGCCTAATAAAAGTTAGTGAGGCAAACATAGAGTCCGTTTGGGCTACGTTAGAATTTGGTAATCACACAGTAACTCGTGTAGGTGTGATTTATAGGCCCCCTGGACACATTGAAGAGTTAGATAACCTACTAGTTGAGGAAATAGCTAAAATGACAATGAAGGGGGAAGTTATCATCATGGGTGACTTTAATCTTCCTGTTGTAAATTGGAAAACAAAATTAGCTACTTGTGCAAGGAGCACACATATTCTAAACTCCCTACTGGGATTGTCTCTAAAACAAGTTGTTGAGGAGCCAACTCGTAAAGAGGCCATACTAGATTTAGTGTTAACAAATGGAGATTTGGTATCAGATATTACTGTAGGTGAAAGTTTAGGATCCAGTGATCATCAGTCAGTGTGGTTTAATATAAGAACAGTGACTGAGTCACACCACACAAAAACAAAAGTTTTAGACTTTAGAAAAACAGACTTTTCTAAAATTAGAATATGGGTAGAGGAGTCATTATCAGACTGGAGCAATTTAAATGGAGTCCAAGAGAAATGGGATTATTTAAAAGTTGCACTATTGAAGGCAACAGAAAATTGCATTAGGCTTGTCAGTAAAAGCAAAAATTCAAGAAACCACTGTGGTACTCCGCAGATGTGGCCAAAATAGTTAAAAACAAAAAGTTAGCATTTAGGAATTATAAAAAAAACCCAGAGTGAGGAAGACAAAATGATCTATAAGATTAGGCAGAAAGAGGCTAAGCAAGTTATAAGAGCTTCCAAATCACACACAGAAGAGAAAATAGCACAGTCAGTAAAAAAGGGGGATAAAACATTTTTTAGATACATAAATGAGAAAAGAAAAGTAAAACAAGGATTAGTTAGATTAAAAACAAAAGAAGGAAGGTATGTAGAAGAGGATAAAGGTCAGGCTGACTGCCTCAATGAATATTTTTGTTCTGTATTTACAGAAGAAAATGAAGGAAAGGGACCTCAGTTGAGAAAAAGGATAAATGAGTCATTTATTACACGTGAGTTTACAGAGGAAGAGGTTCTATTTCAACTGTCAAAAGTAAAGACAAATAAGTCAATGGGACCTGATGGAATACACCCAAAGCTATTAAAAGAGCTTAGTGGTGTACTAGCAAAACCATTAACAGATTTATTTAACCAATCATTGTTAACAGGAGTAGTCCCAGAAGATTGGAAGTTAGCGAATGTTGTGCCCATTTACAAGAAAGGTAATAGGGAGGAGTCGGCAACTATAGGCCAGTAAGCCTTACTTCAGTAGTGGGGAAAGTGATGGAAACCATGTTAAAGGATAGGATTGATGAACATCTAAAAACACATGGATTTCAAGATCAGAGACAACATGGGTTTACTTCAGGGAGATCATGCCAAACTAATCTTATTGATTTTTTTGATTGGGTAACTAAAATTATAGATCAGGGTGGTGCAGTAGACATTGCTTACCTAGATTTCAGTAAGGCTTTTGACACTGTTGCACATAGAAGGCTTATCAATAAACTGCAATCTTTAAGTTTGGATTCAAATATTGTGGAATGGGTAAGGCAGTGGCTGAGTGACAGGCAACAGAGGGTTGTAGTTAATGGAATATATTCGAAGCTTGGACTTGTCACCAGTGGGGTACCTCAGGGATCTGTACTTGGACCCATTCTCTTTAATATTTTTATTAGTGATATTGCAGAAGGTCTTGATGGTAAGGTATGTCTTTTGCTGATGATACTAAGATATGTAACAGGGTTGATGTTCCAGGAGGGATA